CACTCTCCGATTCTACTTATTCAGGCTCCCCTTTCGTAACACGAGGATCAAATTTAAAATCCTCTGCAGTGTGAACAAAACTCTTCAAACTGAAGTCAATATGAACCTGGAAGGTAAATAATAAAACAAAGAGCAGCCATCTCTGTAAGGAGAAATACGACACATTCCCAAATTCTGCAGTTTAGAAAAACTGGGGAGAAATTTAAATGTATTCACTGCTTGTTTTTAATAACTTTTAAGTCTCTAAAGTCAGTTTATTAGTTTATAAACACTAAAGGCTCAATATTTCTGGCCTACCCACTGAAGATTCAGCTTGAGGTGCTACATTAATGCTGTGCTTTATTCAGATAATAACCACAATCACAAATTTACAACTAGAATTTTTTTATTACTAAATTTTTAAGAAATATAACAAAGTAGGAAGAGTGGCGTACTATGCCTATCATCCAGTTTCAACAATTCTCAACATATAACTAATTTTGTTTCATTTATGCCTTTACTCTCCCTTCAACCTGGATTATTTTGAAGCAAATTCCAGACATACCATCTCTAGAATTAACTCAAATTTTAGTATTATGGACACCTCGGATGCTTCTGAGGCTGATAAGAACATTCTTGTAAGAGTTTTTTTGTGGACATAAGTTTTTATTTCATGAGGGAAAAAACTTAGTAGAATTGCTAGGTCAAGGGTGGGTGTCTATCTAGGTTTAAAATAAACCACCAGGGCTTCTTTCAAAGTGGCTCGTATGAGAGTTCTGGTTGCTCCAAATCTTTACCAATTTGGTGTCAGTCAGTTATTGAATTCTAGCTATTCTAGTAGACGTGTTTTGTTGAATTAACTCATAAATGCGTTTTATTTTTGTTGTGTTTTCCAAACTACTAAACTACATAAATCCACATTCTTTATTTTGAGTTAGTTTGTGAAAAGCAGGCACACTTGTTTGTTAAAAAAGAATTAAAGCTATGCAAAAATAAACAAATATGCAATTATCTTCATATCATTAAGAAAAAGTATTTCTCCTGTACACATACATTGCTGGAAAACTGTGGATTTAAAAACAGTAAGGTATATGAGAAAACCAGGGGTGAAACAAACCCAAAAACCTATGCAGAAGAAGAATAAAACTAATAAGAGTAAAAGCACAAAGAAATCTCCACGAGCATGTCCCCTATGTCCCCCAAGTCACTGTCAGACGACGTGCCTTTCAGTCTCGAATCCTGAGACACGTTTTTCCCTCTTCACGGTAAGAACATACAACTTCCAAGACAGAACTATTTCATCAAAACTAAACATGGGAGCTAGGGGATGGCTAACTCCATTCATTGGGTTTCTAGCATGGCTGAGGGGAGGGAAGCTCCTCACGGCTTTTTCAGCCACATCCCCAGCTTCTGCACAAAGTGAAAGCAGTCCACGAATCCTCCGAGCCGGCTACTTCCTCCACTAAAGGAAGGTACTTCTGCAGGATTTTCAGCTTCTTTCTTAAAATATTTTCTCTTTAATTGTGATCAGTTCTTTGCTCAACCTGGAACATTTAATATGCTGGGGAGCGGGGTGGGGAATGCATACAAACCAACAAACCAACGTCCACTTCACACTGACCTCTCTCTCTGATGCTATGTGAGCTAAATCGTATTACAGAAACACACATGTAGGAAAACAAACCATATGAGAAAAGCCCGTTTTCAAAAAGGAACCCGAAAATCACTGAATTTAAACTCGCCACGTGAAACTTTATTCAAAGTCTTATTTTTTTGCTCATTCTATCAGTAGTTTCTATTTCTTTTGAGGCATCTTTTTCTGTCATCTTTAGAGACCAAGGAAAGCTCAAGTTTCCTATAGGCAGAGGTAAGTTGCTCTGACATTTCTTAACTTGTCATGTACCAAAACACAGACTCAGTGGTTTTCTGTAGGGATTTGGAGCAGGCGAAAAACAATGAACAGGTTTTGGGTTCAAAGGCCTCACAATCACGGCATGAGGTAATTTGGAGAATCCTGGACAGCATTCTTAGAATTAACAATCAGAATTTTTTTAGATTCTTCAACATTTTAAACTATTATTCCAATATTAGATTCTCACTGTAATATTCATATTACGATTAAATCAAAGATTACTTTAGATAGCATCCACATACTCGTCACCCATTGGCCAGATGCTGTTCTTCACTGTTCTTTATATGAATTCCCTTCCCCGTCCTGACCTTACTTTACTGAATAGCAGCATTCCAGAACTTGATCAGTTTTGAGCCTGCCCTCCAGGAAGCATCTATGTGAAAAGCCACGTGTACATCACATATAATATTAGGACATAGTACTGTGGGGGCGACAGTTGGATGTGATGGTACCAATAAAGAAATTGTAGTGAGATGAGTTCTAAATGAAAAACACTGTGGTGCCTTCATTGTACTCATCCTCTGTTATAGCTGGAGGACATTTTAATACCTGCAGGATATTCTTGCACCAGGAAATGTTTGGACATCTTCACATCATTTGAAAATGTATAT